ATCTTCCTGACACTTCAGGATGCCTTCCACCCCGCCCTTCCCCAAATGTCTGTCCACGTCCTGGAGAGCAGCACCCCTCTGGTACCTGAAAGGCCCATCTGGCATGCGGAGCAAGAGAGAATCTAGGCAAAGAAATGACTCTGCATGGGGTGGTAATAGCAAAGCGGGAGCCTGGCTGGAGCTCGGGGCGGGGGTGTGGTGGGGTTGGGGCGGGGGTGTGGTGGGGTTGGGGCGTCAAATTTCACCTGGGACGGGAGGCCCCGTCATGCCAGCTCCCATAAAGGGCTCGAACCCTCAGCTGGAAGCTGCCCTGTACCCCTGAGTACCCTCAACCCGCCGTGCAAGCTCTGGACCCACACCCACCTGGGGCACACATGCCCAGTAGTAGCCCAAGTAGAGGGCAGCGCCAAGAATCAAAAGCAGAAAGAACAGCTCTATCCAGGTGCCATTCTGGGGGCTCAGGGAGGAGCTCAGCATAGCGTTGCCCGGTTTCGACTCCCAACTTCCTAGCCGGCTCCAGCGCCTTGACTTTGACTGGGAGGCCGGCAGGTGAGCGCCGGGCTTCACCGTCACCGCGATTGGGCGGCTTGTGCGGGTCCCGCCCCCACCGCCCGCCCACGGCTGTGCGCCCTGCGGCGGGCGCGGCGGGCGGCGGGCGGCGGGCGGCGGGGCGGGCACCGCGGGCCTGCGGCCGAGCGGGTGGCCTGCTAACGGCTTCCCGCCCGCGGCGGCATCTCGGGCCTCCCCGCCTCCTGCTTCCGCTGCTCGGTCGCCAGCAGGGCAGCCCCTCGGACGGAAGAGCGACCTCCCCCCAGCCGCCATCTTGGCGAGGGGCACCCCAGCCCCTTCCTCTCCCTCTGTCTGGCGGCGGCGGGGCGGGCAGCCTGGCCGGGGTCCCCGCCGCTCAGTCACACAGGACTCGGCCACTCGTGACGTTCTTCCCTGTCGTACAGAGTACAGCCGTTCACAGTGACCTTCACACTCAGACAGGCCAGCTCAGTGGGGACTGACACCTGCAGGCTCACAGAGGCAGCCCTTCACAGTGGTCCTCACACTGGACACACCCTTTCACACTGCAGCACTCGTCACACAATCAGGTTTCAGTTACTGAGTGGGCAGCCACACGCACAGGTTAAAGTCTCTCTTAGGTGTCGTTCTCTGTGCCCTGTAATCCCAGGCAAGTAAGTGCAACAGATGCTCCTCACCCTGAACCGGCACGTGGGATGCCCCAGGGTGCTGTCTTCACTGGGATGTAGGAACAAGCCATCTACTAAACCGTGGCTCTCAGCCTTCACTGAAGATAGAATCACCTGGGAGTTTCAAAAACTACCAGTGTCCAGACTGCACCTCTGATATAGTTGGTCTGGAGAGGAGCTTAAGTCTCAATATAACTTAAAAGCTCTCTGGAAGATTCCAGTATGTAGTCAAGGTTGAACCCCTGCAGTAGAGCATGGTGCCAGGTAAGGGAAGGTCGAGCTACAGTGGGAGCATTGAGGAGGGTTCCTGACCTCCATGGGATCAGAGAAAGTATACCCAAATATGAAATGAAAATACATTTAAGGTGAAACCAAAAAATGAGTAGGAGTTTCCCAGGCAGAGAATAGTTGTTCCAAGAGAAGCAACACCCTAAGCAAAAGCCTGGCCGTGAGAGACTAAAGGAACCAAAAGAACTTTGGTGTGGCTGGAGCATATGGGACGGTCAAGAACCAGGTTATAAGCAGCTACATAAAGGATGTTAGAGTTTATCTTAAGGGTTGAGGAAAGCCATCAGAGATTTTTCTTTTTATCCTCATCCGAGGACATTTTCCCATTTTTTGTTCAGATAGAGTTGGGGGGGGGGGAGAAACATCGTGAAAGGGACACTTCGAGTGGTTGCCACCCGCACGACCCAACCAGGGCAGGGGACAAACTGCAACTGAGGTAAGTGCCCTTAGCGGGAATCGAACCCGGGTCTCTCTGGACTGCAGTGCCCTTAGCGGGAACCGAACCCTGGTCTCTCTGGACTGCAGGCCAACGCTCTAACTGCTGAGCCAAACCGGCCAGGGCCCATCAGAGATTTTTATGAAGAGGTAGGCAACATGGTCAGAGCTGTTTTAGAAGAATCATTCAGGCTACTTGGAGAATGGATTGGAGGAGGATGAGAACAGAAGCAGAGAGGCCAATTAGGAAGCTGTTAAAAGAATGTTGGTAGGGTGATGGCTGCCAGGACTGGGGGAGGAGTAGAGATCTTCAGATAGGAGACTGAATTGATAGTAGGTTGGAGGTGTGGGGAGAAGGAAGAATCATAAATAACCTCCAGGTTTCTGACTCCTTTGATTCAGGGTACATGATAGTGCCTGCCCCTGTGAAAGGGAAACTGGGGGAGAAGGTTTGAGGAGGAAGGTGATGCATTCTGACTCACACACATAAAGGTTGGGGTGCTGGTAGGTGTTCAGATTGTGTTTTCTTAGATTCTGTATTTATCTGATTGGCATCCATTAATCTCAAAACCAAACTAGTGGCCAAAATTGTTTACATCTCATTATCTAGAGTCCATACTCTGAGCCCTTCCTTTATCTAACTCACACACCACGCCATTATTTCCCCTCTCCTAAATCAACACAGGGCAAGGTACCAGAGAAGTGGGGGCAGCCTCCAAAGTCCACCATAAATATTTAAAGTAGTCAATCCAAAGGTGTTTACCCTGCCCTGCCTTACCTTTCCCACTTAATAAAGGCTGTGGCCTACATCTTCCTCCTGCTTCTTTCTGCCTTTTCACCTACCTTGGTACTCCTCACTGTGGTCCTATGGTCGAGCTATGCCTCTCGTTTCTAGGGGAACTGTAACATTCAACTTTTCTTTCCATGGCATTGACCTCTCGTATTGTCACTTATAAATTAAGATCCAGGGACAAATCACTAGGCTGTTCAATTTCTGGTCTGGGGCTTAGAGATTGAAATTTGAGATTTAGTAGTCATCAGCATTTAGATAATATATAACTTTTCAGGATTTCCATAAGAAAGTACAATAAATTGGGTATCTTAAATAACAAAACTTTATTATTTTACAATTCTGGAGGCAAGAAGTCCAAGATCAAGGTGTCAGCAGGACTGGTTTCTTCTGAGAGCTGTGAGGAAGAATCTGTCCCATGCCTCTCCTCTAGCTTCTAGTGCTTTGCTGGCAATCTTTGGCATTCCTTGGCATGTAGAAGCTTCACCCCAATCTCTGTCTGCATCTTTACATGCTATTCTGTGTGTGTGTGTGTGTGTGTGTGTGTGTGCGCGCGTGTGTCCACAATTTCGTATAGATATTAATTAAATTAGGAACCCACCTTACTCCAGTATGACATCATCTTCAATAATTATATCTGCAGTGACTCTCTACTTCCAAAGAAGGTTACATTCTTAGGTGTTAGGGTTTAGGACTTCAACATATAAAAATTTGAGGGATACAATTCAACATATAATACGGAGTAATGGAAGCTACATGAACAGATGGGGATTGAGGAAAGAGCCCAGAGGAATTCTGAAGCATGAATAAAACTAAGAGGAAATGACTACATAGAGAGAAATGGTGTTGCTGAAACCAATGGATACCGTGATCCAAGGAGGCAGCATTCATCAGCTTCCACCCAGGAAAGAGGACAGGATGACCTGAAGGGAGTGGGTTTGTTGTGATGGATGCTGATGGGAAGTAGCTGATAGGGAGAAGATGAAGACTTCAGAGAGGTAAAAAGTCATTTATTCAAAGAACTAAGTCCTTGGGCCAGTGGGTGAGGATGTAGTCTGGAGCCTTGATGGAGGAACTGACCACTGTGACAAAAGTAGGTGACACTCAAGCTGGACAGTGTGGCTCAGTTGGTTGAGCATTGTCCCGTGCATGGACGGGTTGCCAGTTTGATTCCCGATCGGGGCACATGCCCAAGTTGCAGGTTTGTCCCCAGTTGGGGTACATACAGAAGGCAGCTGATCAATGTTCCTCTCTCATGTCAATGTTTCTCTCTCTCTCTCTCCTTTCCTCTTTCTCTAAAATCAATTTATTTACATATGTGTGTGTGTGTGTGTGTGTGTGTATGGTTTTAAGTAGGTGACACTCCATTTTTACTACAAAGCTACAGCCACATTCTGCTGGCAAACAACTGCCACCATCACCCTTAAGATGATACTTTATACTTTTTCCAGACCACCTCCCTCCATATCTCAGTGATGTGCACAGCCACACAATGATACAGTCACTGGAAACCAGCAGTCACAGCTGTCACTCAACAACTCAGGAAGAGTCCACCCAGATACCCTAACACACATACTACTAACATCCTCCTGTACCATCACACACCATGGCCAGTCAGTCACACATTGGCCATACTCTTTCAAGCCCATACTGTCACAATGGATACACAGTCACGCAAAATATCTCTTACTGTGTCACAAGGTCTTCAAACACAGCCACATACACCAATCACAATCACACAAACTAACAGTACATTCTATCTTGTCACTCATATCTGTTTTTTAACTTATCTTTGTTGTTGAATGTATTACAGATGTCCCCCCTTTTTTTCCCCATTGACCCCCTCCTCCCAAATCCTGCCCCCCTGGTCACAGTATCTGGACCCCTGCATCACCACAGCTAAACATGTGTCTAATAGACAGCAGCCTCACCATAGCCTGTTTGTCTCTCTGTCTCTCTAGTTGTCCGTCTCTGTCACACACACACACACACACACACACACACACACACCCCACACACACACCCCACACACACACACACCCCACACACACACCACACACCACACACACACACCCCACTCACTCTCTGGTTGTGGGTGGCGGGAGGCTGGTGGAGGCTGCGGAGGGCCGGCTGGGCGGGTCAGGGCGGTGCGGGTGCCCTGCCCTCCGGCTGGCGACCAGGACTCTGCCCCGGCCAGGGCGGCGGCTGCCGCCGGGAGGGCGACGTGGAGCGGCCACGTGGAGCTGCCCAGGGGAGGGCCGGGCGGCGAGGAGCTGGCGCACAGCCCCGAGCGACGCCAAAGGCGCCCCCGGCCTGAGCCTCGCCGCGCTGCCGCAGGTGGGTCCGAGCCCCGCCCCGGGCGGCGGGCTGGGGGTGGCCGGGGACCCTCACCACAGCCAGCGGGGAGCGCGCCGCGCCGCGTGGGGGGCGGGCCGCGGGGCCGCGCCGGCTCCCGGCCTCTGAGTCTGGATGCTGGAGGCGCAGTCCCTCTGCATCCCGGCGGCGCGGCCGCGGAGGTGGCCTTAGCCTCGGGGCGCTCTCGGGAGGGGGTCACCCCTGAAAGTAGGTAGAGGGAGAGGTGGACAGCCTGGGCTCCTTCTGTGTGATGACGAGGTTTCCCAATTATCCGAGTACTTTTCCCTCCGGTTGTCTCATTTGTCGCTCTGACAGCACCGGGAAGTGGGTGCCGGCAAGAGTTCCATCCTCCTTTGACAGATGCAGAAAAGGGGGTGGGGAGGGGCCCAGGTTATACCACCCAGCTGGAAGTGGCAGGCTGGAGCCCCGCTCTCAGGTGTGGAACCCTTTTGGCTGTATAGCCACTGCCTCTTCTCCTGGGCAGGAGTGGGGGGTAGGCGGGGCAGTGGGGGTGGGTGGAAGGGGGAGTTGTGGGTGATGCTGGGAGTCACAGGAGGCGCCAGAGAGATAAGTTAAGGGAGAGGATTCGGTTCCAAATAACTTCTAACAGAACTAGCCAGAAATGGAATGGATGCCCTGGAGGTGGTAGGCTCCCGTCTGGCAAAGTTAAGTGAAGGCTGAATAGGCATTGACAGGGATGCTTTGGAAGACATTTTTTGCAGTGGATGGGAAGTTATGCAAGACAAAAGGCCCCTGCCACATCCTAGAGTCTCTGAACTACTCAAGAAACATCTGCTCACTGCCAGTCATTAACTAGATTATCGAGTGGCTTCATCCTCCCATGCCCCTACGTGATAGATGCTATCTTGGTTTTTTAAAATGAAGATCCCAGGGCCCAGAGATGTTAAGACACTTGCTTAGACCACACCGTTAGCACTGTGAGAGAAAGGATTTGATCAGAAGTCTCACTCCAAGGCCAGCTCACCTCACATGCCCTGGTGCAAAGGCTTGAAGAAATCAGAAGCTAGAGGGTCATCATGAATGTGAGTGTGTGTGTGTGTGTGTGTGTGTGTGTATATAGGGTGGGAATAACTTTACTGAATTACGTCACAGCTGTTAACTAACAGTTATGGTGGCTTTCATGTGGTCATTATGGTAAATTATGTTTACACACATTATAGTTATAGAAAATGATCAGGAACATTTTTATCTGACAGGCAGTGGTTCAACAATTGCTTTATTTCTTTTGCTTACGAAAGCTTTGTAAATGCTTAGAAATGTGTGTGAACACATCACAGTATGTCTACCTCATTACTCATTATTAGAAGTGTCTTAGCTGGACTTCCTTTAAATAATGGAGGGAGGTGGGTTACCTGTACTAAAAATGTCACAGTTGATCCCTGGCAGGTTTGGCTCAGCGGTTAGAGTGTCGGCCCACGGACCAAAGAGTCACGGGTTCAGTTCCGGTCAAGAGCACATACCTTGGTTGCAGTTCAGTCCCTGCCCTGATTGGGGTTGTGCTGGGGACAGCCAGTTGGTATGTCTCTCTTACATTGATGTTTCTCTCTCCCCACCCCCCCCCACTCTATCTGAAGATAAATGAAAAAATATCCTCGGGTGAGGATTTTTTTAAAAAGTCAGTTGAAAACATTGCTTGAGAGAATATCAGTCAGATAACATTAAAAGTCCACATGCCCTTACTTAAGTTTATGAAGTGGACTACAACCAGAATGCTAAGGTTGTCACGAGGGTCCAGGACATTCCAGGGAGGGGTGGAACAGCTTGGGTAAAAGCATTAAAAAGTGAAAGTGAAAAGTGTGTCAGGAGACTACACTAATCCCTCTGTTTGAGGTAGAGTGTTAGTGTGATGAATCTCTGGAAGATGAGTCTAATTTGATATCTGACTGTAGAGGGCCTTGAATGCCCAGTTGAGCACTCTGGACTATAACAGAAATGGGGAGCCATTGAAGGTTTTGGAGCAGTGGAGTTCTAGCAAAGGGAAATTAATCTGATGTGGGTATGGAGGGTTCTTTAAATGAAAAAGATATAAAAATAAATAAAAACAAAACAAAAATGGAGAAGAGGCAGGGACGAGAATGAGAGGTTACTATATTACTTTGTACAAGAAGTAATTAATTATCCAATTAATATCCACTCTAATCCTGTGCTGTAAGTACTCTCTCCATTATGCAGATAAGGTAACTAAAGTTTAGTGAGGATAATTAACTTACCCAAGGTCATAGGGACAGTCAGTAGTGAGGCTGGGATTTGAACCTAAGTCTGGCTGGTTCCAAAGCTCTGTTCTCTGTCGATTGCACATACTGAATAGCTGTATATATGTGACAGATACATAGGACCAAGAGGAGATGAGGGATAGTAATTCATGCAGGCAGGGTTCAGGGACAGGTATATACTTTTCAGGACCAGGTACATACTTACCAGTGCAAAAATAAGATAAAGAATTTCAAGATGACGACAGCAGAGCATTAGACTAAGCACAGGGCCTTTCCTAGAGCAGGCCATACACTCATGAAACCAGTTCTAATTACTGTGACAACAGATTGCCTCAAAACTTAGTGGCTGAACACAAGAGCCTTGACTTTGCTCATAGTGTGTGGTTTGGGCAGGGCTGTGGAAACAAGTACATTTCTGCTCCATTCTGTGTTGGCTGAGGCAGCCTGAAGGCTGGGGGTTGGAATCACCTAAAGTTTTGCTCTCACTTGTGTGGCCCCTGGGCCGGGAAGGTTTGAGCAGCTGGAGGCCAGAATGGCTGGGGCTCCTCAGGCATCTCTATGTCTGTGTGGTTTCCCCATTTGGCCTTTTCATCATGGTGGCTCTGGGCTCCAGAGGCGCATATCTCCATGTCAAGGGAGGGAGAGAGAACTAGAACCAGGCATACACGATGTCGCCTTTTAAAACTGACTTGGAAGTCACGCAGCATCATTTCATCTATTCATTAGAAGTGAGGTGTTAAGTCCATCTACTTCAGCTTTTGTGGGAAGGAGTGTCAAAGAATTTGTAAATCTGTTTTTTGAACCAGCACAGTTGGCCTCGTGAAAGAGATTAGTGAGATCTGGTGGTACTTCCCCCCATGCTTGAGCTGCTACCACTAGAGCTATTCTTTGTCCTCTTTTTTTTTTTTTTAAATCCTCACCCAAGGACATTTTTCCATTTTTTGTTCAGATACAGTGGAAGGGAGAGAGAGAGAAACATCGACGTGAAAGGGACACATCGAGTGGCTGCCTCCCGCACACCCCAACCAGGGCCGGGGACAAACTGCAACCGAGGTACGTACCCTTAGCGGGAACCGAACCCGGGTCTCTCTGGACTGCAGGCTGATGCTCTAACTGCTGAGCCAAACTGGCCAGGGCTCTTTGTCCTCTTTTAGAAGGCACTGCTAGTGGATGATTTATTAAGCCTGAATAATAGGTTTTGACAGCTCTGGGGGATTTAAATTACTCAGTGCCTCCTGTTGGCCTAGGTCCTGGCAGTAAACAGATGGGGAGGAGAAAGCAACTAGAGGGTATTCAGGTGGGGAGACCAGGATGATCGGTGAAGCCACTGCCCAGCTGTCCACAAAAACTTCTGGAAGGAAAGAAGCCAGGTATTGTGCTTTACATACCTGGTCTCTTAACCTGATCACACCCCATGAGAGGTGGCAGGTGGAGAACCTGAAACACAGAGGTCACACCGCTAGTGAGTTGCAGAGCCTGAGGTTGGGACTCAAACTATCCATTCTTTAGCAATTCTGTCTTTCTCTTTTTTTCTTTATTGATTTTAGAGAGAGAGGAAGGGAGCGGGAGAGATAGAAACATCGATGAGAGAGAACACCGATTGGCCACCTCCTGCATGCCCCCCACTGGGGATCTGGCCCACAAGCTGAGCATAGACCCTGACCAGGAATAGAACTGGTGACTTCCTGGTGCATGGGTTGATGCTCAACCACTGAGCCGCACCGGCCGGGTTCTCTTAATCATTGTTTTAAGATTTGTAGCTTTAAGGAAGAAAAAGAATAACTAATTCTACTTTATATTAATTTATAAGATAGTGCTTAACAAATATTAGAGAAACAAGTAACATTTATCCTTATTCTACAAACTTATATTTACATTTTCCTTCCCTAAGGATGCTCATCCCCTTGGTCTTTGTCACCAAAGGTCTTAACTTCTGCTAGTGCTTCCCATGGTGTCCTCTGTGGCATCTAGTTCCATGGTCCATACCTTTGGCATTCTCCTTCTGGCCAGCTGGCCCGCTCAGCCATTCTGTGCCCCTCCTTCCACCTTGGAGCCTGGAGCCCTCAGATGACCCCTGAATTCCCACCCCTCAAACCAGCAGCACTGAGTACAAAGAGCTGGGTGAGGTGGCCATTCCCCTAGATCCTCCTTCAGCCATTGCTTCCTGAGCACGCAGGTGGGCTGGCTGGGCCTTCTCTGTAATCCTCCTGGGTTAGGCACATATCTCTGCAATTCTTGGATTTTCACTCAGTCTCCGTGGAGTTTCTATGGTATTTTTCCTGATACAGAAGCTTAACTTTTATTTTTATTTTTTTCTTGTTTTTTTTTTTGTACAGATAGAGTGGGAGGGAGAGAGAGGAAGGGAGAGAGAGTGAGAAACATCGACGTGAAGGGACACATCGAGTGGCTGCCACCCGCACGACCAACCAGGGCCGGGGACAAACTGCAACCGAAGTACGTGCCCTTAGCGGGAACCGAACCCGGGTCTCTCCGGACCGCAGGCCGACGCTCTAACCGCTGAGCCAAACTGGCCAGGGCCAGAAGCTTAACTTTTAATGTATTCAAATCTGTCCATTGTTTCTTTAAAACGTATGAGTTTGAAATTTTTATCATGTTTAATGGTTCTGTCATATAATATGATTTGCTTAGCCATTGCCTAAATGTTAGACCTCCAAGTTGTTTACATTTTCTTTGACTAATATTAACAGTTATATACCCTTATAACTTCTTTTCCATTTATGTTCCTCT